CATTTTTCATGTTGTTAATCATGCTTCAAAGGAATTCAAACAAATGATATTTTTTCTACTCTTATAAAATAAAAATCTATTTTGTATTCCATGATTTTCTATATACGATGCAAGCTGTTTCCATCAGCTGTTTCACATTCGCTACATTGCTAGAGTTTTTTACATGAAGAGAAAACGCATTCAACTATATCTAGAAAAAGAAATTTTTGTTAATAAGAAGGCAACAAATGGAAGTATATTATCGTGAGAAACCTATCGATTTTGTAAGGCAACATTTTTTCCAAATGTATTGTTCAAATGAGTTCGCAAACAGTGATTCAATTTAGTGAGTTATAATCAGAGGTGTACAGAATATATCTGTTTGCTCCGACGTCCTATGGGGGGGAGGCGGGGAGAGGTCTTTGGTTCCAGGAAATTTTTTAGAAAAGCTATAGCGAAATAGAATTTTTACTTAAAAATAACTAACCAGAGAAGAAAATGTTTTGACACAGGTGAGAAATTATCCCGTCGTGAGAAGTTTTTCGTTCTTATGAATAGATTTTGCACCTCTGATTATAATCATTCGGTAAGCTTTTGTATGAAAATACCTGGATCGATAACAGAGTAGAAGAATATGCCCTGTTTTTCTACGGTTATTTGGTTCAAAAGATTGATCTTTTTGCTCTTTTAGATCTAAAATGTTGTAAATCCGTATTATCTTAAATACTAAAATATGAGCATTGAAATTCAACAGATAACTGATCAACGGCGTGGACGGTATGTTCGAGTGAGTGATATAGATCGACGGCAATTAATTGATGCATATAAAAGCGGAGAAGATTTTATTGCATTAGCGAAAAAATTAAATATTAAACGTTCAACAGGTATGAGATGTAATAGGTTATCGATATTCTTTACACCATAAATATTCATCTATTTTAGCACGAAGTATACTACGAACATACATTGATGAAGGCCGTATATCAGCTAAACAACGAGCTGGTACTAGATTGGTTAGTAAATCCGACAATAACTGAATTTTTAGCAATGAAATAATGTTATATTTATTTCCAGCGTTTTATTACGGAAGAAGAGGCTGAAATGATTAGAGAAATGAAACGTCGTCATCCATTGATAACAATTGGACAAATTCAAATGAAATTACAGCGAACATCAAATCGTGTTTTAAGTAAAGCGTCCATATCGCGAATATTAACGAACAGTATAAGATTAGGAAAACGTGCAAAACGATCGATGGATGGACAAGAGGACGATGAAGGAGAAAAATTAGATAATGATGATAGTGAAATGATGGTATTGGAGGAGGAGGATGGATTAATTGAGATTAATGAAAACGAAGAAAATGAAAATGATGAATTACAAAATTTAGAAGATTTTCAACGATTTATGTGGAGAAAAGCATCGAATAACGGTGAGGATGGTACAACTGTTACAGGAGAAAATGGATGGGATGCGAAAGGTAGCTAACCGTATTGAGAGAAAGCATTCTTTTCGTTAATGTTAGGCTTGTTTCTCTGTTTTAGAACACTTCAAAGATGACGATAATGTTAGTCATTCGTATCAAGGATACGATACCGTTTGGACTGGTTACGAAAGCGAAGAAGATGGAGAAGAAGACGATGAAGATAATGTAACGGAAAATATCAGTGTGACAAATGAACAACATTCGGGAACATCACCTCCTCTGATGAATGGTAAAAGCAAATTATTTTTATTTATTGTCTATCTAATATTTTTTTAATTTATAATTTTTGTGAAATGTTATTTCAATATTATATTTTTAGGAGCCACTGTAAGTGAGAATGGCTGTTGGAACCTAAGTATAGTCAAATCAGAACCCGTCTGCGTATTTCTAAATAGAAATTACGAAAATTCATCAGACAGTGAAGATTTAAATACATCCCAACAATCGTCAATGATAGTAAATGGCCTACCAGATAATCATGAACAGAATGCTACAATGGAGAAAAACATAATTCAAAAGTATGTACAGTTGTTTTCTTACTTTTGTAATTATTTCTATGTATATAATTTATACTTAGTTTCTCCATTTCAGATCTATTCAGTCAAACTCAACTCGTGGTACAAAAGATTGTCCGATTTGTGGATTAAAAAATTTTTCACGTTTATCTCATCATTTAACTGTAGCACATAATCTAAATCGTCAAGAAAGTCATTCAATATTATCTTATACTGATTTACATAATGATGATCATTCTCCAGGTTCAAATACGACGATTAATCATCATCATCAATCAGCAACAACATCCGATAAATCTCCCCAACAAACACCAATCAATCTCAATGCAAACAATCAATTAAAATCCCCAATTGAGTCAATATCTTCCTCACCTGTGACAACTGCAACAGCATCTACCACTACCACCATTCCAATATCAACGACAACAATAACTTCATCTCCATCGTCAGCAGTCGAACAGCAATCGTATGTTCCACTTGATGGTAAAAAGCGTCTATTGTGTCCGCGTTGTGATACATGGTAAGTTTCCTACGTTTGTCCATTTTATCTTAATCGAGTATTTATTTTTTTCCTTACTATTTTAGGGTACTTAATTTAACCGATCATCTTATCAAAAAACATCATCTTGTCTCTAAACAAGAACGTTTACCATTTTTGCGTTTAGCAAGAAATCGATATATTCCCGGTTCGTCAACAGCATCATTATTGACGACAGAAAAACAAAATGCTAACGATATGAATGATTCCATCAAAATAACAAATGTCACTCAACATCCGTTTGTTATCAGTCCGGATTATTCAGTTAATGATCCAGATTCAAACGGAAAAGACAAACAGGAAACAGCAATTTCGGCTAATGAACAACAACAACAACAACAGCAACAGCGAAATAACGATAAAGACTATCAAAAGAATGTTAATTTCCAACAAGCAGCTAAAAGATACCACAAAATTGTCAAAAAATATCGAAAAAAATTTATGAATGTAACGGCACAATCATCGACAATACAAGATAAAAACGAGCATTTGGTACAGAATGGTACAAATAACCATCAAGATGTGCAATCTCGACACTCAGATGCGAATAATAGTGACATGAATATGAGAACAAATGTAGAAAATAATAACAATTTATTAACTGTTCACTCATTATTAGGACAACAAACTGGATTCGGATTGAAATCAACAGAAAAATATAATCCAAAATTTATTAATAACAATGAACAAATTCAGAGAACTTTATCGATGAAAACAAATAAAGATCAGGTAATTAAACGTGCGTTTTAATCGAAAATTGCCATCGTACAAGTATTAGCAAATATTTTCTCTATAGTGGCATATTAGATTTTGACAGAGTTGTGCATTGACGGGCTACCAGCGGGACAATTGTGCCTTCTGAAAAAAAATATTAAAGGCAATAAGCAGTTATTGCCATGGGAAGAATTATATTATACAGCAGAGTATTTTCTTAAAATTCGAAGTAAACAAAAAAAGAACACTGCTTTATTGAAAAATTACCGCTATAGAAAGTTTGTTGATCCTCTCTAGAAAAAGTTTCCCGGCACGTCCATGGAGTTGTGTCGTTTACACGGGCATGTTGAGCAATTTTAATATCTCACTATTTACATGTCTAAACAGTTTGAGTTACTGTTTCAGGCAGCAACAAATCAAAAATTTGAACAACGTTTAATAGTTTTTCGTCAGCAATTTGCTGTTACAATTGCTATGCAACAAAGTTTAATGCAACAAATGGAATTATTACAGCGAAGTTTTGTTTGTATCGAAGACGAATGGAACGATATGAAACAGAAAATATCAGTATAAGGCTTTTATGCTCGCCTCATTCATTACTCACTTTGTGCATGTTTATTTTTAACACAGATCAGATATAAACCAAAAATAAATAAAACAATTGTGAAATTTTTCTCTCTTTCGACCAGAAACAATAAGAAGTCTCTGTTTTTTTTTGTGCTATGAACTCGATATGTTTTTGTTATGAATTTTTTTTGTACATAGTAATTTTCACGATAGTGCTTACACATGTCACAGTTATCTGTTTTGTGCACAAAATTCTTTTTTGTGTGTCTACGAGCAGTAGTACCGAATCTTTTCCATTATCTAGCATTCTTCTTATTATGTGATTGAAATGATCATTTTCAAATTTTCTATCTGTTTGTATGTGTGTGTGTGTGTGTGTGTGTGTGTGATTTATGTTTGGATACTCAAACTATTCCATATCTCATTGAATGAATGACAGTATATCATTTTACAGCTCTTTATGTAGGTGTGTGATCATGTGATTTCTCCATGTTATTCTGTTTTTCTTTTTAGAAACAATATAGTTACTCTTCCGCAATTAGTGCTACTTATATTCCATTATTTCATGATGATTCCAATTTTTTGTTTTTTTACATTTAGTTTTTTGTGTGCTTGATTCTCTTTATTTGTTAATTTCTTTTTGTTTTGCTCTTCTTGATTTGATTACTTTCGTGTTTTTGCTGAACATTTAGAAATGCTCATTTTTGAACTGTGTAACTTTTACATTTTTATGCTAAAATATAAACAACAATTTTTTCGTAGAAAAACAGTCAGATCTACAAAATAATGATTGGAATTGGAATACCTATTTCAAAGAGCATGTTACAATTATTTCTACAATCTTTTATTCGATTCAAAGCTTACGTTATAACTTCTTGAAAAGATTGAAGTAATAGACAAGTACAGTAAATATTTTGAATGAAAATGCATCCTACCGATGTGGATCACTGTATTCACAAACGAATCATTCTTTGAATTCATTTGCGATCTTGTACGAACACTTTTTCAGATTTGTTTTGGATCCTCTACAGCAGAGGTACAGAATCTCCCCGTGAGCTTGAAAAATTTCCATATTTGAAATTTAGAAAAGGCTTTTATGGGTTTATTTCTGATTATTCGGAAAGGCGACTATGACTTTCACGGTGAATTTTGACCACAAAACGGGATATATGTAGGTATGTAGAGGAAGACTTCCTCTATCTAATGGTGCATATATTATCAAATTCTGTTGCGTACCGTGAGAGAAAATTAACGGTAACCCCTCTTTTTTTAGA